TTTTCCAAATTTCATTTTTCATGGACGGAACTTACAACGAGATGTGCGAATTCACATGTAATGTATCTTCACTAAGTTTTGTATCGTATGGAAATGCTGTCTTTAACCTTGTGTACATATTCGGTTAGTAGGCAATGAACCACACCTATTGTGTGAGGGCTAGTGGTACTTACTATCTGACTACCCAAACCTCGGTAGGTGGAGTGGGTTTCGAACCCTTGACTCATTATTTGTAAGCTAACTGTTTAAACCAGTTCCACCTTACTGTACTTGCTACATATCTTGATAACCTTCATAACATTACGTTGGTAGCCGAGTGAAATCTTTACTAGTATAGGGAAGCAACTTTTATTCACTTCACCTTATCCATTAAATCACTTAAACTGCCGCTAAGATGGGAGCAGTATCTCGACTTATAATTTTTTCGTTGGTTGAATGTTGGCCAACTTACCAATACCGAAGCTTCCGAACAGAAGTCTGTATGTCAATAAAAGTCAATCGGTTCGGTCAAATCATCGACTCATTGCACAGCTGACTAATAGATGACCCTGTGACATGAGTACAGAGTTTATATTTCAATAGCAACTGCCTGCAGCTGGTGGAGCCTCAAATGGGACGAAACATACATCCAGGATTCCATTGTTAGTCACTATCTATCATTGCTGTCAAAGTGAAGTGACCAGGAATATCGACGCATTCGCACAGGAACACATATGTCAGTAGTGGTCACTCAAGGTGGTCTAATCAACGACGGTGAACTATGGACTACAACTATACTGAGATAAGATGCATATTTTCAAGAAACAAAATGACTGCACGGGATACCAGTCTATTTGAAAGAATCTGTTTGGTATTATGTGTAGTGTTGATGTGACTAAATCGACAACAGCTCTTGTGATTGATTTTCAAACTACTAGACTTGCTGTTGTTGTCTCTAAAATGTTCTCTTTGCTCTGTTTACTTATTTTCCCTTTAAGTACTGTCACGAGTTACGATAGCTAGATTCATTGAGACTCTATTTTTCGGACGTAGAACTCCTGGAATTGAATTGATGCATTTCTACTCATGGCTTTACGTTGATGTTTTTCCACTGCCTACCTGTTTGACTTGTGAAATCTAGTTAAACTTACCAACTTATGACCAGAGAGTATTTTTATTTCTGTAGACTTGACATAGCGATATCTGTACACAGTAGTTGTGTACGAGTTGTTTTTAGGCAACCACATGAGAACTATGGACCTAGTTATGTATTAAACTAACCGTCAGCCGATGATTATTTCATAGGTGAAATAAAGTGCTGTAGGAGTCCAGCTTTTTCTGGAATACTTCTTTGGAAACATAACTCATTTTGTTACTGATCACTTCTCGGATAATGTTTAAGTGTTTTAGAGACGGCAGGCACTCTTTCTCCCCCTATTGGCGATTTGTCAGCTAGTTTAAGTCGAAGTAAATAGTCTGTCATCATTAAACTCCTTCCCACTAAATATGAAGTTTAGAGTGTTGGATGGTGAGAGTCAATCGGCGGGAAACCCTGCACAACGTTAACACTAAAGCCTAGAAAATTTCATGTGTAAAATACAGAGTGTTTTGTGTGTTTGATCAATGTTGGTTAGTGAGTAATTAGGCAACTGGAGTAAACCATTGACTAGACAGATTCCGAACAGTTCGACTATGTAAGCTGAATTTCTTCGAGTACACCACTTGTAAGCTCAACCTTTGAACGAGTCAAATAGCCGTCTACACTGATCTGACCAGTAAAACCTGTAGATCAACTCTAGTAGCTTCTAACTACTCATGCTGTTGAATAGTATATCCCATCTAGTTTTTTTTAAGTTTGTGCTAAATAAATAACTTTTACAGTATCGCTTCACTGATAAACTTCGATTATTTGTCCACCATTGTTTATTGATGTCATTTTGATTGAAAGTAAACAAAACCGTTGTTATGAGAATTAACTATTATTTCGTGTTCATAAACGCCTCCTTTTTTAAATTTTAAATAGATTTGCAATGCTTTTCCCCAAGTTTACTGTTACCAATTGTATCAATAGTTAGATTTGTAGTTATACAAATTGGTCACGCAATAAACCTGTTAAGTGTTCAATCCTACATAATTTCCAAAGTGTTTGTTTTTCATACTTAAAAAAAATAATTTATATGTGTAAACAATGAAGTCGGTAACCTGGGCAACAGCCTATTCATCATTCAATTGTGAGCTTGTCTACTATTCCGAATAATTGGAATAGAGTAGTGTGTTGATTTTAACCTCTCAGACATAAAATGGGTGGTTAACACAATGAAAGACTATTCAGCTGCTAATTATTGTGTAGTTGTGTGTGTGTGTGTGTGTGTGTGTGTGTGTGTGTGTGTGTGTGTGTGTGTGTGTGTGTGTGTGTGTGTGTGTGTGTGTGTGTACCTATCAACCCGGTTCGTTAAACCTTATACTTATCAAATCACACTTGGAGTTGGATTCTGTGTTTGATGTTCATTTCAGCTTAGAACATTTGTAGGTTAAACAGTATTTTGTTCATTAATGTATAGAGTTTCCTGTTTGTTGTTTTACTGAACTGAACTTGTCGGTCACTCTTAGCGTATTTACATCGTGAATGGACTACTCATTACTGTACGAAGTTTCATTCTGATGTTATTTTCTTGGTCGTGACTAGCAGTAAAGTACTGAATGGATGTTCCATCCAATTTCGGACTCTTCAACTGGACGTGCTTGCATTCCAATGAGTGAGAAACTGGGGTCCAAGACCTGTTTCTTCAACTGCCAGAGTGTTATCAATTAGACCACTAAGTTACTGCAAACATCAGTAAAAGGTAAACGATTCCTGTTGCAAAATGCTGATCAAAAAGAAGAGTGGAAGAATGGTTATGCCAAGTGGTCAGTTGTTGTCTATAGTTACGCAAGAACAATTATCGACAAAGAGGAAAGATTAAAACTGCGGAAACAGCAATAATAATAGTAATCATTTGTTAGATGAGCAAGGAGGGATGGGTAATCTCTACGTCGAACTGATTGACTGCAAAGGTCCCGGCTTCTCATTAGAACTTCGGGATACCCATCCTAGAGCAAATGCCTACTGAAGACCTTGGTGGATTGTCGCGCTATATCGCGAGTTGACAGAGGTAGAAAACTGTGGATCATTGAACTCTGACCCATGTCACCGTGTTCGCCGTAAAACCTAAAGATCCTGAGTTTGATCCTTGGTGGGGTTGCGGATCGACACTGCTGAGGAGTCCCATACTAGAATGAAACATCTGTTCAGTGCTCCTAGGTTTTCAGCGGTTCTGCAACTGATATCACTTTCTGGTGAATACTAACTTGAAGACTGTACTATGTTTGCAGACAGGATATAGTTATAAATCTCTTATGAGGGTGACTAAATCAGAAAGCTAAAACTGAATTGGAAAATAGGGAAAGAGGTGATGCTTTCGACAGGTATGTAGGAGAATGTAATCCTCCAAAATCAACAGCCTAGGGTTCAGTACGATTCAGTATTGATGCTGACCTTCGCAGCTGAACTCACAGGGTCAAAAATTCATCCCATTTAGCTCGTTGCTGTACTACGTTGCCTCACGCGTACACGATCTTCTAGCTTGTTAGTCGAAACGAAATAGTATTTTAGTGCGGTCTGTCAAATATACTATTCTTACCTCGCTACTTTCTTGTTCTTTGCTGGTCTTGCACTTCTGGGTACTTTACAAGGACGACGAATTAGTGATTGACCTTTGTGTCTGTCAATTTCACCTAGGGATAATTCCTAAAGTTCTAGAGTAGTAAAATATTTTCCCATTTAGAACAGGACAAAAACTGAATCATTTTTACCCAGCTTCCGCTTGAGTTCAACCTCATAGTCACCATTTCTATTACGGTAAGGCAATTTAGACACCTTTGACACATGAATCCACGTTGAAGCGTACCCACAGATCCATTAGTTCAAGTTATTACACTCTGCAGAACCACAGTTGGAGGATATAGTAGACGAAACAAAAACTCGAAAATATTCCAACGTTCTGAAGATCTTAAGGACTGAATAAATCTGCGCTACTGCGAATAATTGTGTCGCATATCACACTGTCTCTAAGCCTTGTTTTCTAGTATTCCGAGCGCATCAACCTAGTAGCCTATTTTCTCCTACACGGTTCAGACCAGTAGTCAAAGACTTGATGGATTCGGGCTATGCCTTAATTTAGCCACTCTTAACCTCCCATCTGAGTAGTCCTAGTTTGGCTAACATGTATTTTAATAAACTGTACTGCATACTGGCTCCTATTTAGATGGGTCGATGTTGCCACTACTTACAGTTTAATAGGGATGATAGATAGTGGCTAGCAGTGAGATCCAGGGTACGTCATTCCTATTATTTGGAACTCTTTAAATGGATGTACCTGCTTCCTAATTCATTGGTGTTGCTCATGCTGAGACTAACTCAGTTGCCATCGTCACAAACTTCAGAGTGTGATGCACAACGTTAGTGAATCATGATATCCACTCCATGTACAACGGGGATAGTTTGTAGATTCCCGTAGCACAAAGAGTAGCTATTGTGACTCAGTAATGTAGTTGATAACGCTCTAACATTTAAAACAATAGGTTGTGGGTTCGATCCCCGACGGGAACAATATCATTTACTAGAAGGTAGGCACATTCAGTTGACAAGTCCGAAATGTCAGGAATGGCACGGCCTGGATTTCACTGCTCTCTGCTATGGATTATGTGTAGCAAATCTACATGACAGACAATATTGAAACATGCGCAGAGAAGCCTAAGTCTGTTGTCACTGACCGATTCGGTCTGACCAATTACGGGAATCTGTAAGCTTTGACACTAGGATTACTAATGTTTAGGTCAACTCTTAACCATAACAACATTTAGACTGTGGCAAATACCATAGGGTAATCGGGATGTTTCAGTTGGTATCATTAAAAAAGATTGAGGTTTCACTTCTACTCTCTTACTTTACTTACTTATTCTTGCATTTTTTTTACCTCTAGTGACAATGGATGAATGGAGTTTCTTCAGAGGAGTTACTTACTTATTTCGAATAACTCATGATGAAGATGAATGGGTTTATGATGAAGAACCTCACGTAGAAAGACGAAAGGTAATCATTGTAATGCTAATTTTTATCTTTCCTAAAATAACTTAATAACACTGTTATTCAGGAGAGCCTTGCTTCTTACTACTGTGCTTATGTGCTGTTGTTGTCCGAATACCATCTTGATAGAGCTTCCGGCCCCATTACTGAGTGATACAGATGTGAGAGATACTGAGGGAACACCAGTTTCCTCATAGCTGCAGACACGCCCAGCTGATGAGTGCGCACAAGTGTGAAACCTATGGCAGATAGGGTTTCTTGCTGGTTGACTCCGAAAATTGAACACCAGACTAAAGTAATTATCCAAAACTTATACCCCATTAAATTAAATCTTATCTAAGATTTTTCAATCAGAATTTTACTGTTGAAGATGAGTCTTATGGTTATTCTGAAACTCAATCATCAGAAGACTGACATCAGTGGGTGCGCACTGCTGAGGAGTCCCATACTAGGACGAAACAGCTGTCCAGTGCTCCCAGGTTTTCTTTGTTCCTCCAACTGATGTCAGTCTTCGATGAATAACAACTTGAAATATTTCCAAATGTCCAAAACCCCCTCAAAATTTAATTGAACTAGTGCTTGTTGGTGACTAGCTTCGAGAAGTATTCCCGAAGTTCCAATGACAAGTCGTGACCGGTGGAGTCAAAGCCTGATGGCCGTGAGGACAAATACTCAACGATGACATTGGGTGGCGGTTTGCGCTATATCGTGAGCTAACAGAAGTTGGAAATATGGAGCATTGGATTCTGGCCCAGTGGCTCAATGGTAACGCGCTGGTCGCGGAACCTGAAGGTCGCGGGTCCGATCCCTGCTGGTGGGGTAGTGGGTACGCACTGCTGAGGAGTTCCATACTAGGACGAGACAGCTGTCCAGTGCTCCCAGGTTTCCTTTGTTCCTCCAACTGATGTCAGTCTTCGATGAATAACAACTTGAAATATTTCCAAATCTCCACAACCCCCTCAAAATTTAATCAATCATCAGAGTTGTTCTTCCCATCGTGCTGTTGTAAAATTCATAGAGTTTGCTTACGGGAGGATTCATTACTACTTTCGTAAAGTTGACTCCGGAAAAATCGCTTCTTCTTGAATCAAAATACACAGGCAGGATCAACATAGGACCTGGTATTACTGTGTAGCTATCCAACTTGCCACGATGCATATCAGCACATCGAGCCAGAAAGCATGAAGATGGAAGATAAAGAAATAGAAAAGAAAACAGTCAAAAGTGGTAGAAGTTGAGATAAGATAACAAGGAGGAACAAGAAAATACTGACCTCAGCATAACGATTAAGATGAAGGTGATATATGGACGCATCCGTGCCACTGATATCAATTTCACGCTGTTTTACCTAGAGTCTCCAACCACTGATTTAAGCTATCATGTGAACCCTCACAGAAGACTGCATTTCCCTACGTGATTCACACCAACACTCAAAGGCTTCATGAACCAATGTCTGACCACCTCTAACCTTTCTTCAGTCTGAATCCAATTCAGGGAAAACTGCGCGCTGAGGCGAACGGTGAACAGGCGCGTAACATATGTTCCACCCACCTGAGTTAGTGAAGGTTCTCGAGCTGATCCACTGACTTACCCCTTTCGCTTGAAAATTTACAACTGACTTCTGCATTACTCATATGGTGGCACCAAGATACACTACCTATGATGCGAAGACAACAGTGGTCGAATATCTAAAGCCTTCTCATGTCCTCTTACGTCCGTGACTATGTTTCTTAGCCATACAGCAGAATACAGCTCAGTGCAGTGCAACCAACCGCTAGCAGGCAATCAGATTTCACAGTGGTGACATGTCATAACTTAGCGCAAGCCAACCGGGCCTTTTGTATCCGTGTAGGGATTTCGACAGTTACTACCCCAACAGGGTTGGTCCGACTTCCCAGTTAAATGGTCAACGTGTTCAACCACTTCACTCACTGTTTTTAGATAGAACATCAGCAAATACCAGTCCTGGAGCAACAATTTGCATTTGCGTTATGAGAAAAGCATCCTAAACATTCCGAAATCGCCACTCAATATGTCCATAAGATTCTGCATCTTGTGAGGGTTTTTATCTAACAGGATTATATCATCTGCGTACTCTAGATCTTCCATTGACATATGAGGAAGTCGAAAAAGTAACGATGAGATCGTCAATATGGGAAATTCATCATCATCAAGATTGGCATAGAACCGGGAATTACTGCGTAATGGTTCAAGTTGCTGCACCTCATATCAGCAGACCAAGTAACAAGGAAATAAAATGGAGGATGAAGAAGAAAAGAAAAACCATTCAACAGAAATAGAAGAAAGTAGTAGAAGAAAGAAAGGAAGAATGAGATGATGAGATTAAGTATAGCGATTAAGATGAGGATTATGTGTGCACGCATCTGCACCACTGACATTGATTCTGAGCCATATCACCTAGAGTCTCCAAATACTGGTTCCTCTAGTCCCGTGGACTTTAACCGGCTAGTCTGGCTCTCCTTTCATATAGCTGAAACCAATGGTCAAAGACTTCATGCATTCATGCGATGTTTTACTCTATCCACATTGAGCCTTTTTCCAACCTGAACATACTTCAGCCAACATTGTGTGACGAGGCAGACGGTGGTTAGACATATGTAACAGCTATCTAAGTCAATGAAGGTTCACAACCGCATCAACTTTCTTACCTTTCCTCCCCAAAACTCTGCACCTGACTTCTACGTTACTCACGTGGTGACACCATGAAGCACGGCCTATGGTACGAAGGCAGCTGTGGTCAAACACCTGAAGTCTTTTCATGTTTTCTGCTTTTAATGGCTATGTTTCACAGCCATACAGTAGAATAGAGTGGACTCCAGCACAGTACATTTCACCCGTAACAGGCAATCGGATGTCGTGGCTCCTCCACAGATAGCGTAAGCTGGGAAAATTCAACCAAACATTGTGTAACCGTGCAGAGATTTCGTCGTTCACTGATCAACGCATCAGGACTGATCCGACTTCTCAGGTAAGTGAAGTGTTCAGCGCACCCAACTACTTCACCTTCTATGTGTTAGTCGGGGTACTGGTGAAGACCAACCCTGTAGCAATAATTTGGATTTAAGTGGCGAATAACGCATCTTAAAATTGGGAATCATTCCTACTTCACTGTTTTAAAAATCAGGGCATATTTATTCATAGTTTCTTCACGTACCTACAATTAGTGGTAGATGGGATTCTGTTTACTTATGAGTTAGAAAATGAACAAAGAGGATCGTTAATGCTAGATTGAAAAAGACAAGAGAGATAAGACGGTGGTTTATACAACAGTAGTGTTTACAGTAAAGTTGTCACACTCTAACACATACCTAGACTTTAGGTTATTCCACCTCACATCAGTTAGAGCACGCTTGGTTAAATGTAAAAGCAGTTAAGTGATGAGTTCACCTAGTATACCCAGAAATCTAAACATAGAAATAAAACCGAAAAAGCAGAACATTACAATTCAATGAGTTTCCTTGAAAATATATTCAAAAATCCACAGGATCTCATAAGAAAGAAAGAACTGGTGATGTCACTAATGCTTGTAATACAGCTAATAAGGACCTAAGGGCATCCATTGTGCTGTCAAATAAGGAAGACACATTAAACCCCTCTTCCCTAGGATTCTTATTAAGGTTACAATTAGAGTGGCATTTAGATCTATACTATCAGCTTAAGGATACTGTTGATCCATGGAGGAAAACTAATTTAACTTACTAACTACCAATGCATTGATTGTGAAGTTAATTACATAGGTCAAACTAACTGAATGGGGTCAATCAGGTCAGCGGAGCACAAGAACTTAGCTAAATTTAGAATGATAAAACACAGAAAGATAAGTAACCTGGGAGAAATCTCAGTCATAGGTATGCATAGATCAACGTATTAATCATACAATTAGGGGAGAATAAAGCATGATCATGTTCAATATGGAATTACATTATCACAGTACCCCAATTCCTATTCTGATTGAAAGATCAACCTATTGACTAACATAACCTCACAGAAAACTACGGCACTTCATGTTGGCATACTTCAAAACATCACAGAAAGAGGCAAGTATCGAAAAATAGAATTAAAAAACCAGCAGACTGAGAACAAATAAATCGAGGCCTTCAAAAGATTCATATTTTTGAACAGAATAAGACGTCATTACATTTACAGGATTGTAAACACCTTTCAACCGTAAATTACTTGGTAGTAACTACCAGCAGAATGCCGGACATGTGTCTCATCCTATTTAACTTGTCAGTGAGTGATGATACTCTTAGACAGAATGAAACATGCGTCCTGACAATCAAATTATAGCATAATAAATACTCAGGCACTATTGAGTCATACGAACAGGCAATGATCGATTCGATAAATAATAACATCTCTCAAATATTCCATCAAGTCCTCCTTAGCACTCGTTCCTACCATCATGAAGATCCCAACCACATTATCTGGATGCCAACTCAGATTAGCAGTCAATGTCTTTATGGATTGAGACTACGTCTTCTCATCTGATAACCTTAAGCGCTTTAGACAAAGGTGTATGGAAAGAGATGTGGTTTAAACATGAAGGTTGATCAGAACATTCAACCTTCAGAAGACGTCAAAGAGTTAATTCACCTGTGCCATTTTGACTTTTTAATTCGTGTCACCGAGAGTTCTCAACCAATCATTTCTATCAACTTGAGGACTCCTTCCAGGTAGTCTGCACCTTCCCACACGGCTCAGACCAACATTAAGAGATACTGTGCACTGGTGCTACGTTTTACTGTGGTCGCGCGGAGTCTTCTTCCAACGTAATCCAACTCCTCCTAGCATTGAATGTTGAGATAGGCGGTGGCTCGGCAAGCGAAACACATTCAGACCACCTGAGTTATTGAAGATTCATAACCTCACCAACCGACTTCCCTTCCTTGCCCATTACCACTTGGCTAACCTCGACGTTGTATGGTAACTCCACCGTAAGCGAGCAATGCTACGGAGACATGTATGACCAAAAACCTGTAGTCCCTTCATAACTTCTGCTCTGAACGATCATGTCAGCTATATAACAGAACAGAACGAACTGCAGTGCAGTATGCTCGTCCTTTGATGTATAGTCGGATATATCATCGTCAGCTCCATAGATGATGCGAGTTAGCGAAATGCGGGCTGATGCAATTCCTAAACTAAGTGAAGTGGCCGACATATTCCATCAATTCACCCACTAATATTAAACTGGGAGTGGTTGCAGACCAGTCAATCCTGGAACATCACCTTAAATTTGACGCATACGAAACTCAAGCCAAACAAATTCAGATTTCTGCTTAACCTTTTCAAAGGACTGCATTTTGTCAGCGTCTTCACCTAGCGGGACAATATCGTCTGCATACTCGAAGTCAACCAGATGACCTCCAGGGTGTAGGTCAATCTCTGTGAAGTCAGACGTACCTAAGGTTATATTCATTAGTATGTCAATGACGAAGTTAAATAGAAACGGTGACATTGAGCAGCGTGGCAGACATCACTGGCTATTGTCAATTTAGCTTAAAACTCTCTATGCATACAGGTAATAACCAAGAATTCACTAACTCGAATTTGTCTATAAACGTTCAGTTCATATTCAGTTATTCTTTTTTTTCGAGACAGTTTTTGTCTTCCTTACATCTATAAAAATATTATTATCAATCTATCAAATTGAAATTTCTAAGCGAACAGTGTTCAGCTCGATCTCTTCGTTTTCATTTAGGAAGAAGTTGAGAGCATAAACTACTAATGAAATATCGATGATCTTTAATTTCTGTAGAGAAAGAACAACAATTCTTGCAGAATATCGTGGATTTGTTTTATTTTGCGGTTTCTCATCAGCCGCTTACAAAATAAAATAACTTTTACATTATGAGAATATGTTTTAATATAGTCCTAGCGTGTTTCGAAAATCAAAACAAGATATTTCTGAATGTTTCACCGTGTAAGCCACAGCTTCGTCAGCAGAATATTTTAACATAAGTTTTTAGCCCACCTGAATTAGTTTGACAGGGGACTTTCGGCTTGAATTAAAGATAACACCGATATGAGGTAATTGAAAACACACAAATTGAGTTGGTTAATATACGGAACTAATGTTCGCTGTGAAACCTGTAGGTCTTGAGTTCGACCCCTAGCCAGGCTGTGGGTGTGTACTGATGAGGAGTCGCATACTAGTAGGAAACAGCTATCCAGTGCTCCTAGGTTTTCAGTGGTTCCCTGACTAGTGTCAGTCCGTGAGAAATACTTCTTCAGAACCAGCTTTGCCAATATATAGAAGGATTCGACAAGTATTCTGGAGCAGAAGTTTGATGGGATATAAGAGACAAATGTATTGAACATTTTAAAAAGTGTTACTTGTGCAAAAAAGGTCAAAGATTTATGTTGGCTAAGAGATAAGATGAGTAAAATTCAGATAATTAGGTCAAGGGTGTGAAATGAAACAAAAACGTGTATGAATCAATAATTATCCGTGAAAAAAACATGTTGAGTGTCAACAACACAAACGTTCTTACCATCGTAGACACAGAGTGATAACAATTTCTGTTATCGATAAATGGCTACCTTTTGAGTGAAGCACGACAAACTCCAATTCATCTGTTCATTAATTATTTTGAGCGATTTCTGGATGTCAGTTTCATAACCATAATCAACATGGTGACAAGGAAGGCCGCCGTTGAAGACTTTTCCATATCTCAGTCCTGAATTCCTTGGAATACACACAAACATACCACCACAAACCCTTCTTCCTGTTTGTCTAATGAATGTGCTTCGGCATGCACATGTGAATAAGCATATGGAATTGGAGGTAACATAAAGAGGAGACTTGTTAAACTGTGATTGTCTCAGCGAGCAATTGTTTCGGCAGAGCACGATTAACCTAGCCGCTGAATAAGTCCCTCCTAGGACAGTACTTATCATTCTGTGATTAATTCTGTCAGAAAATCCGACACCATAGTAACCGAGTTTTAGAGAAAAAAGCTTCATCCTGACTACATAATACCTTACTGTTTTATTCTGTACATGCTTGTGGTTATTGATGAATTTCTGTAGGTATCTGATCGTAGTTATTTCTATAGTTCATTGAATTCCCCTTTTGTATAATTTTCGCTCTAGAATATTTGTCTAGTCTTTCTACATATTGAAAAACTTACTTTTATAATAATGGTGGTTAGTGACTAGCAGTGGAACTTAGGACACGCGTTTCGTCCCGCCTGGGACTCGTCAACTGAAGATACTTACCTCCTCGTGAATAATCTTGTTCTAACTAAGACTGGAACCGAGGACCAGTCGCTTCAAAAGCACCATAGCGTTTTCCAATAGGTCATTGAATCGTGGTGGTCACTCCTTGAGCGGTGGGTTATTTGAAGTGTTGGATGCTCGTTTTGAAAATCAACGTAAATAACTTTACTCCTTGGAATGGAGGCATATACAGTTGACTAGTCACAAATAGCATGAAACTTGCATCCTGGATTCCACTGCTAGCCGCTATTCAATATTAATATCAAAACTGTGAGTACCAACAATACAGAGGCATTCACACAACAGCCCATATGCCGATAGAGACCGATCAATTCAGTTCAGTCAAAGACGAAGACTTCCAAGTCATAACTTTTAGTTCTTTTATATTGTATTCACACAATTCGTATGTCTTCAGTTAATACCATATTAATGTTATCTTTACTTCAAGCTGATAATTTACTATCAAATTGGTTTAAGAATGTAAACATTTGTATAAACTGATGTTCACATTGTGTTATGTTGTAAGCCGCTAGTAAAGTTTGTTGCTCTTGCTGTATTCGAGGGAAAGAATCGTATGAACTCTGATTTGCTGTTTTGTTGCTTAGATTGCTCTATGAGTTTGTCTATCTGCCTTCAGGAAATTCTTACCAAGTATCCAGAAGTCAAGGAGTTAATGGGACCTGATATACAAATAGTCTATCTAAGTTCATTTGAAGTTTTCCTACAAATTATTATGGTTATGCTGATATCTGTTTACCAACCATCGTGGTTTACATGGTTAATATTAACTTATACAGTCAGTGGGACAATTAATCATTCACTTGGCTGTGCTATCCACGAAGTAGGACATAATTTAGCCTTCGGGCATAAGTATGGTAAAGCAAATCGAATCTATTCAATATTTATTAATCTACCAATGGGGTTACCGATTGCTGTCTCCTACAGGAAATATCATCAAGCTCATCATAGGTGAGTTCATTGTATTACTGTTTAATTAATTATCTTTATTAACATCTATTTGGTTAGCGACTAAGAGTGAAGCAGAGGATGCGTTTTTCTTTCTGTTTCGGATTCGCTATTAGGTTGTACCCACCTTCCAGGGAGTGATGATGTTTCCATTGACAATCGAAAAGGTACTTATGGTGACCAAGTAGCCAACGGTATTTGAAGTAGTGGATGCTAAGTTCAAGTATCAGTAGGAACAGTATTACTCATTGGAAGACAAGTACACCCAGTTGAAGAGGAGGAAACAAATCTATATTCTACACCGAGCCAATATCCTTGATTTTTATCAAACTAAAGTGACCCTTAATGTCGAGATAAAAGTTTATGTAGAAAATCTATGTATTCAAAGGAAAGGTCTAATTCGAGTCGTATTTGATGAATCGGAGGGTTTCAAACCAATCATTTTAAACTGTTGCCTTGATTATATCGGTAAAAGATCCAGTTGTCGACGTCAATTGTATAAACTGGAGATATACAAAAATGGGGTCATAATGCACTCGGCTAAAGGTTGTCGAATAGTATTGGTTGACAAATAGAAACATATTCACACACCACTCATTCTATTCGATGCAAAGAAATTCTTAAGACAAACAACACAGAAAGATCCTACTGAACAGACTGAGCTTTATTTGTGGAGGATACTGAAGAGAATTAGGGATGAGTCATTCATTATCACAGGACCATGAACAACTTCACCCATCTGGTTCTATGATCCAGGGTTTGTAAAAATTATCCAAAATGCACAAAGAAGGTATCTCACACCGTTCAATACTGAATATAATAAATTCTGCTTATCATCCAATCGTCAAACGGCCTGTGGAATTTCTTGGAGCAGTAAAGAAGCAGCTGTTGAACCATAATCTCTGTGACACATTTGATTTTGTTGACTCAATTTAGAATGTCAATTTGACAGCTAAAAGCATCATCATGTTGAATATTAAGTGCCCGTTTATAAATGTCCAACTGACAGAAACCATTTCCTTCCTACATAAGACCACTCATTCTCATAACATAGATGTTGATATTAAGAATCACTACTTGGAAGAGCTTCTTCTTCTATATACCTTCAACAGGTACTTCAGAATGAATAATGAAATCTATAGGGAGATAGGTGGTTTGACAATGAGTTCCCCAGTGGGATTTCCCTTTGCTGACTAGTTTATAGACAGCCTACAAAACATCAACTTTTCAACAGTAATCACTGAACTTCATATACACAAAAAATTCATTGATGATACCTTGGTTGTCTGTGATAAAATTATTATTCTTGTAAACCTGTTTCCTACTTTCAATAATGTCCACCGACCTCTTCAAGTGGTCCGAAATCTAATCCATTCACTTTCCTCAAGAATCAGAAAAATATGTTCAGAAGATACTATTGATGAAGAACAGCAGCAGAATATTTGAAGAAATCTAATCAAGAATAGTTTTTCACTTGAATTAACAGATAAAAACCGAAAGTTGAAGAATACAACTGAATGAACAAATGTAGCGTCGGAAACGATAAAGGGTTTACTAACTCCTGTGGAACTGAGTGCATCAGCTGTACCGTGCACCCGCTTGTAAAAGCTGCTCAAGAATACAATTCAATCTGACTAACGAGGAGAAAACGGAAATGCACCTTCAGCTCAATAATAGAATACCTTGTGAATTCAGCTCATTTAGTCATACTGTACATATTAGTCTGATTAAAGGCTTTCCATTTCTTGGTTGATATGACCTAAACGTACAGATAACTGCGAAAACTTCAAATTCGTGTAGTCACTTGATGTGTGTATGTATATCTCAGTATGAAATGTTGTATTTTGAGTTAGAGACTAATGAAACGTTAACAAAACTACGTGTTCTCTAAGACTTGCATTCTTTCCACTTCCAAGTAAGCAAAAGATATCCCGAAAAGATTGAAAGTTTGCACTGCATTGAATCTACTCAGCTCAACTTTCCATGATCAAATAACTACGAGGTCTGAGAGTGTAGTGTTGTAATCACATTCGCCTCAGTCTGCGAAACCATTATATAAACTTTCTACTAGCATTATTATTAGAAGAAACCAACTGACTTTGCATAAATCGTTACCGGCTGGGCAAACTTAGTGCACGTGAGAACAAATACCCAACGATGACATTAGATGATGCTCGCACTGTGTCGTGAAGTGACAGAAGTTGGAAATATGGACCATTGGATTCCGACTCAGCGACTCGATGGTAATGTGCTGGTCACGGGACCTGAAGGTGCTGAGTTCGATCCCTGGTGTGGAGGGATCATGGCTGTACACTTCTGCGGAGTCCCATACTGCGGCGAAACAGATATCGAGTGCTCTAAGGTTTCCAATGTTCCTCTAAATGATGTCAGTATACGATAAATACCAACTTGAAAAATCACAAAAAGAACTGCAGCTGATTAATATTATAATGTTGTTGCTTGTAGTATCCCGTCATTGAGTTGACCAAATTGATTGATGTGTATTAACAGATGGGCTCCTGCGCGGATGCCTCGATATTCCCTGTGTTTCAATCATATACTGATAATGGATAGTGGCTAGCAGTAAAATCCAGGATGAGCGTTTCATCCTATTTGGGACTTATCAGCTGGGTGTGGCCACTAGCCTTCAATAATATCTAGTTCAAACGTAGGTAGTACCAAGGCATCCACGCAGGAGCCTATATTTCAATAGAGACTGGCCAATTTGGTCCACTCAACGACGAACAACAACATTAAAACTATACCCGTTCCATAAGAAGTGGCTGTCTTGATTCACTGGTCTAGTGGACAAGGCTCTGGCTTTAGAAGCGATCGACGGTAAGTTCGAGTGCCAGAGGGATGAACATTGCTGACTGGGAGGCAGGTACATCCAGCTAACGAGTCCGGAATAGAACGATAAGCGCATCAAACTGGATTTTACTACTAGTCGCTATCTATCATTAACATATGATTCATATTATATTACAAGGTGGTATTCATCATTGCCGGACATTATTGAAGACCTTAGTGGATAGTCGTACTACATCGCAAAATGACAGAATTAGGAAACTGCGAACTATTTAGCTATGACCAAGTGGTTGAATGGCTGACAGTTACCGTGGAAACTGAAGGTCCTGTGTTAGACCTCCCGGGGGGAGGACGGGAGTGCGTAGTGCTGAGGAACCCCATGATAGGGCGGAGCAACTGTCAACTTTTCCTAGGTTTTCAATAGTTCTCTGAATCACGTCAGTCCTTGAAGAATACTACCTTGGAATAAATAAAATCCCCATAAACCTGAAATCATATTGGATTAGTCTGTTTGATAGTGTTGAGTATTATTTACTATAAAATATTTTGAGCAGAATTGACTGCTCGTTATCTTATCAAGGTAATCAAACGACTTTGTAATCCAGAGTCAAACTAACCGAACGGGGTCATTCGGTTAAGAGAATGTAGGAGCCTTGCTGTCTCTAGATTCATAGACCCTAATTATAAGGTGAGTAATCTACAAGGGAATTCAGCCATAGCTATGGATGCAGTAACACACAAGCCCATAAGACGGTGCAACAGAGTCAAAGTTCTGAAGATGAATGTAGTTAAGTAGAGAGAGAGAGGGAGAATTCTGTTGGCATATTGACTCCCATACGGATGCCTCAATAACGTCCGGTTATTGACTGTTTTGTAATTTTTAGGTGGTGAATAACGATGGAATCCAAAAAGCACATTTCGTTCCATTTGGGACTCGTCAGTTGGATATATCCAGTGCACAACACTTTGGGCTCGAGTCCTAGTGGGAGCAATTTCACTCACTGAGGTGGAAGTAAATGCAGTTGATGAGTCCCGAGTGGGACGAAACGCGCGTTTTGGATTCCACTGCTATATATTATCAACAGAAACTACAATTTCGAATATTGTTTGCCACCTTAATTGCTCATTCGTAATCTGCTTACCATGAAACCCAAAAGCTATGTGCTTGGTGTTGAAATATGTCGAACTGGGACGAAATGACTGCTTGGAGTGTAGTTCGTTTTTGTGTTATTGAGTACCTTCCAAAAGCCATGTCGTATAGAAGTTGCATTTCTAGTTTACATAATCTTGATGAATATATTCTCTTTATGGAATAAAATTTTTGTCGGTCAGAAGTAAATTTCAACTTGTCACTTGAACACACATGTTGGAGTCAATTTTATCCATACCAATGTGTTTTCATCTTTAACTAATCAGTTGATTATTTGTTTTCGTAATGACATGATATTGTTTTTGTGTTGATGAAGTTGTGTATTTCAAGGTATTAAATTTGTTTTTCGCTTCTGAAATTTCCACTCTGATGTTGTACTACTGAAAATATTAATCAATTTAATTCTGTTCCATTTCTGAGTCATTTATTTTTTTCAAGTTTGTATTCATCCCTGACTAATGTCATTTGCTCCAGTATAGGACTCCACAGCAGTGGGCACTTAGGAGCCTACCGTCCTGGGATCGAACCTTGAACCAATGGTTATCGTGACGAGCACCCGGTTGACATCCAACGATCTACATTTTTCGACTTCTGTCGTTCCGTGATTTAGCTCAACCTTTCTCCGATGCTATCGTTGAGTATTTTTCCTGATGTCTGACTCAGGTTACCCACTGGTCATGACTTCTCATCAGAGAGAATGTAAGGAAATGCAACTCACTGGTTTTGAATACTTTCCTTTAGGCTATATCTGTTCTATGAGATCATCCGATTGTTCAAACTGAAATATATCAAGTAGATTCAAAACTTTGACCTTTGTGTGTAAAATCAACAACATCATTAACTCCAAGTTCAACATGTTAGGCATACATATGATAGATGCCTGGCGGCAGTTCACCTCGACAACCAGCCTTATAAAACTTTAGGGTACACTAGTCACTTGGGTGTAGCCAATTTCATGTTGCCTTATAGGTTCAGCATCGTGGTGGCCTCTATCTAAGTTATGTGCTACCTGGTATTTGTTGGCAGTCTTAAAGGAACTAGTGTCACCTAAGAGATTCTTAACCACATCGTGCACTCAGAGAAGTTACCACAGAGTTATTTGGGTTGCAATTTCTTAAAATAGGAATAAATATGAAGCCAAAGTCTTTGACGTTTTGTGCAAGTCATGCAGTCATGCGAATGATGAATATTTCTTCAGTAGTGGATTCTATAAGTGAATTAGATATACTAATCAGTTAATAATTTATAATAGCGTACTTCGTGAATAAAATTTTGAAGCGAATCATACATTACACGACTATCCATTGCCTAAAGTCTCGGATTTTGGTGGCTAATGCCCCAACCTTATACCTTTATAGGTGAATGAATTTTATAGGGATATGCCTTGCTGTCGATTACTGTCTTGTACCAATCCAGATTCTTTTTGTTTCGTATGGATAATGGCTAACTATTCATTGGCAGGTATAGCACGTTGGGGGAAATAAAATAAGGAACGTCGAATATACAGATGACGTTAGTCAGGAAATTGGAATCTTAGGCACTCAATCTGGTAGTGGTTTTGGATGGAGATATTTTCACAGTGAGCTAACTTACTCTTCTTGAAAACTGATCATTTTTGTCCAGATGAAAGTATGAATGTAATACATAGACTTCACATATGCAGCTACAACTGATGGCGGTTTGATGTTCTTTGAGCTTTGGTATTTTGTCGTGGAAGTTTTATTATCATAAAGAAGTGAGACATATTCGAATGCTGAATATGAATGTTGTCTAGTTGTAAGTTGAAAAGGAGACTTTTGTCACATAGCGAACTTTTTGATCGTAAATTTCACTCAGTTATGCTGGTAGAAAATTTTTGTTAGAGTGAGATTGTGCTGTCAAACCGCCCATTCATTTATATATATGAATATACCTCACTTCTTTATGAATGTAATGCTGAGGATGTTACTAAGCGTGAAATGTCCACGACGAAATACTGAACTATCATCGTCATCCTGAGCTAATAACATTTCCTATCATTTCAATTCAAAGTATACTGGTTAGACAAAAGATATGCTGTAGTTGGTCACTTATGGTTACCTACCCATTTTTATTCTGTATGATTCCTATTCTTGAACTCGATTCGCTGCCATTTTGGTTTGTTTTGTGAATACACACACACATATACATCGATCAACCTCGATGTAAACTGTATGTTTAGTTTTAACTGAAGTTTTGTCATATTGAACAGATATGATTTTATATTGACTTCATATTTTCTCTTCTAGATGGTTAGGTCATGAAGACGGAGATGCAGATATGCCATTACGTCTTGAAGCTAAATTATTTAGGCATCCAATCACTCGACTAATATGGATTATTATTCATCCAGCATTTTATGCATTTCGTCCGTTTATCAAGCATCCATTACCGTTAACAATATGGGAGATTGTCAACTTTTTTGCACAAATCCTCTTCGATATAATTATCTGGTATTATTTAGGTGTATGGTCATTAGGTTATCTGGTTATTGGTACACTACTCGGTTTGGGATTGCATCCACTCTCTGGACATTTTATCAGTGAACATTATCTATTCGCAGATAATCAGGCAACTCATTCGTACTATGGAATTGGAAATTATTTAATGTATAACTTAGGTTATCATGTTGAACATCATGACTTTCCGTACATTGCGTATACCCGATTGCCGAAGGTCAAAGAAATTGCGTCAGAGTATTATGATCCTCTGCCGTACCACAAATCGTTATGTAGAGTAAGTCTACTGTTTCATATAATTTGTTCATTGCTATTTTTATACTTATTATTCTGTGTATTATGCAGTAGGATTGATAAAATCGAGTGATGAGACAGTACGGCGATTGATGTCTGAAACCAGTGCAACCCAACACTAATTTTTAGTTGTATTAGGTTACGTGACAGCAGATGAAGTTTTAGCAACGCTGAGGAGTCCTATAATAGGGCGAAACAGCTATTCAATGCCCCCAAGTTTTCAGTGATTCTCAAACTGATGTCATTTTATAATGAACACCAACTTGAAATTTTAGATGCTTGTGACTGCACCCCCAAATATGCGTCTATTGACTGAAATTCGAATGATATGAAGGAGAACTACTACCAATAGCTGCCGTTTCTTTTAAAAAAAGGTAAAATAATCAGGTATGGTCATTTTGCTTGAGGGTTGACTTGTGAATGTCTACGGAATGCCTTGTCCACAAACCAACAACTGTGAGCATCACTTGCGAATAATAATCACATAATCACTTATTCCTGGCCAACAGTAACATCAAACACAAAGGGAAATATTGTCTCCGTTAGCGTTCAGTAGTCGGCATAAATAGGTTATATCTCTATCAGCCACCATTATTGAAAACAGATTGATCAAGGGTTACTGCTCTTTTTGGTCTCCAGTCGCACGTTAGTTTGAATACTTGTGGGTTTGAACTCTAATGGACGCATGAAACAAACAGCAGTAAAGTCTATATGTGACCAGCTGGAAGATGAGAATATCAAGTCTGTATTTGGAGAGAAGGCAGGAAAGAATTCGTCTGAACGTCGCAACAAATCTCATTTGAGTGAGGCCAAGGATATTATTCAGTCAATGGATTTTCGTAACCTATTCGAATCTTCGTAGTGACCTTGAGGAGTGGCAATAGAGATAGATTGGAAAGGTATGGACCCTCAAGTAATAATTGGCGGTTACTTAAACATATCGAAAGACGGTGATCACTAAGACCATCCCCAATAAGATGAAAAGATAGAGAAAGTTGGCGTACAGTCTCGTACATTAGTGCATCTGTTCAAGTTGCTACACTTTAGCATGCAAAGATCAAGGAGACAGAAAAGGGTCTACACAGAAGGATCATTTGTAGTGGTACAAACCATTGTTGTCCACTAGACACGTTCACTATCCCTGTTCTTTTTTAAAAGGCTGGTTTCCAAATGTATTGATGAAAGTGAACCTACTTGACTCCTCTCCAGGATTGAGTTATCTCGGTTAGAACGTCACTTTGAAATAGTTGGTGGTATTACATGTACAATATATGTCCAAGACAATCATCTACCCTAGGATGAAAATGGAACAAATCCATAAAGTCTCTTAGTTTTATTTTGAGTCACATAAGTGAACATGCACCACACGGTTCTCAGTTCCTGATGTTGATAGGTGGCAGGGATTAGGAGACTTTCGATTGTCTAACGCAAACTTCGTCAAAATGACACAGAAGTATACACATTTTATTATTTCAGAAATTTTCAATATTACCAATAAAATTTGTTTATTTTTTCCTTTTCTTATGATATCTGCATTATTCTATTGTCATTCTGTTCATGTTCACTGCCTATTTACTTGATTCATTGAAAATCTAAACTATCATGCATCTCTCTACAGTATTCTCTATTCATTTAATTAAGCCTCTATTCGCTGCAAAAACGTTGAGACAGTTATCAAGTTACTGCGTTACAAGGATTTTACATTGAATATCTCTTTTGTTACTATTCTTAACAATCAATGATTTATTGATTTGATATGGAATCATTTAGGTTCCTTCTAAGTCGATTATTATCCAAAGTGAAGGTCATTATCTAAATTTATTGACAAAATAAATAATCAGTCTATAGGAATTAAAATCCGGCCAGTTAATCTTAATTATTGATTTTCTGTGAATTTTCAATTCGTTTTTATAGGTGATTTTAGCGAGCAAACACTTTTTCATCAACGTTATTATCAAGTTGCGCAATCGCGTGTAAATATTCTATTTTCTATCTCTTGATATGCTTTTAATTCTCCATTATTTTACTGGATAGAATTGATAAATCTCTATTGGTATATAGAATTCTGTGCGGATGTCTTGATATTGACTGAATATTTATTATGATAATTTGCTTGGTAGTGGCTAGCAAAAGAATCTAGGAGGCGATGGATACGAGGTTCGAGTCACAGTGGGAATAAAATCACACACTGGAATTCAGGTACATCTAGCTGACGAGTTCTAAATAGGACGAAACGCGCGTCAAGCATTTGATTCCCATATACTAGTTAACACTTCCGTGAACCTGACTAAGAGCGCCTTACCACCACCCTGGTATACCTTAGAAGTTGGTCCGTCTGGTCCTGCCACCCTTCCTCGTTTCAGGTTACCTACAGCTTTCTCGACTTCTGCTAGTGTTGGGGAGCCTATCTCAATGTTCCATTTAGGTTTCGACTAGATAGCGGGCAACGTAATGGTTGCTGGAGTTCAGTTCAACTGTTCCTGGAAATGTTCTGCTCATCGTTCCAGTCGTCTCCCCTGCGAGTGAATAGCAGATCCATCCTTCTCCGCTATAGCCTCACTAACTGTTGTTGACGTTTCCCCCCCGAGTCTCCTTAATAAGTCTAAACTGTCTACTGTTATCAATCGCCACTGCCTTTTCCATCTCTTTAGCCTTTGCTTCCCACCACTGTTCTCGATCGTTGCGCAGACTTTTCATCAGTCTACTTTTAAGTTTCGCTCGCTCTTCATTGCGTTCACTTGAATCCATTAGCTCGAAAGAAGCTACTGATATCCACAGGCTCTTTTGAGCCACTATTTTGGAATCGGCTACAGTCTTTAGCGCTGCTTTTATAGCAGACTGGAGGTGGTACCAAGCTACTTCTGGATGAGTGATAGAACATAGTGTGTACTTAATGATGGTTATCAATTATAGGTGTTCGGTGGTTGGTTGGACGGCAAGTGACCTTGAAGTCAACAAACTTCAGAGAGTGGTTAGTACACCAATTTTTTTCGAAAAATATACCTTGAAGTTGTTCATAAGTGTAGTTTCTTTTAACTATTGGAGTAATGTAGGCCTTGTTTAATGAAAGTGATAGTCGGTTGCTTTTTTTCTATTTTATTCTGACTGCACACTCACTGGTGATATCCGAAGAAGTGGTTGAGACACACGCAAGACGGCAATGATGTTGACCAAAATATGACAGGGAGTATGTGTGTACGAGTTTTGTTAAACAAGCTTTCCCCTGTAATTCAAAACCCTTACTTGACTTTCAGAATATGAAGTTATATAAGGTTTTTTTTCTCTCCCTCTGGAAACGCTTACATGCAGTCATAGCTTCATGATCTCTGCTAGGAAACTCGTTGTCTTAGCCGTCAGGTAGCAAGAGTGTTTCCAAAAAGGTGAATGTTTTTAGGTTGGTGGATTTGTGGATCAACCTTCAGAAGGTGGGAAACAAATTTTAAATCAAGTAGGCATATGACCTCCATGATACAAAAATCAGGAACGGAGCAAACAATCACTTTAATTACCGGTAACTGTGAGAATACAGCTATAGGCATTACTTTTCTGCCTTATGGATAAGACTTCAAATCAAAAGCTTAAGAGGAATCTTAGAAGGCAAACGTCTGCTTCGGTTAAACGATATGCGCAGCATCAGGTCTCCAACGCAATTCAGATATATATTTCTGTTTCATAGGCTGCGTATCAAACTTCATTATAAGTAAATAACTGCATAAAAAAATTATCTGATTTCAGGAGGTTCATGCTCAAGAAATATTGAAATCCTCTGTTTTCCCTGTTACTATGACTGTTTCAATGAAACAAAGCTGGAAGAAACAAATAATTGTGAACTCAATGGTAGTCTTGCCTAAAATGTGAAGAAAGTAGGGCAGGATCCCAAAATGTGCTTCTATCCTTGAAATGACCAATCAGAAGCGAGTATTAGGTTATATGCTAACATTGAGATTGTATGTGATGAAAATTGAGGTTTCGGTCATTTTTTTCAGGGAAAGTTAGCAGTTAAAATTCAAAAACATACGAAATACGGTTTACATTAGCCAGGATTAAACTCTTGAAATTCTCTTTCAAGACAACAGCACTGAAATGACAATATACCCCCCGGGATATCCACTGTTTCAGAGCTTAAAAATACTTCAAATGCACTTAAAATTAAATGTTAAGCTTTAGGGACTTATGGTCATAGCTTGAAATTCGGGTACACAATTCATTGATAAGCCGTATGAATTAGTATTTATGTACTCCCGGTTTATTTGACTTTTGGAAATAAAGTATGTAAAAATTACTACAGACTTGATAAGTAGCATGAAACGATCACATACAACTTCATTTCTTATGTTGCTGCTTGTATTATCCAACCGTTGATTAGACCGAATTGATCAGTCTCTCTTGGTATATGAGCTCCTGGGGCGGATACTCTAATATTGCTTGTTGTTTATAGCAATTTTATAAAAATGATGGATAATGGTTAGCAGTGGAATTCAGGACGCACGTTTCGTCCTACATGAGATGCGTCAGCTGGATGTCCCTTACTCCGAGCGAGTGTTGTTCTCACTAAGACTTGGATTCAGGTGGACAACGCTATGGTGCTTGAAGTCACTATTCTTGGGTTAGAGTCTTGATGGGAACAACAGCACTCACTTAGAGGGAGCAAAACCAGGCTGAGGAGTTTCAAACAGGACGAAGCGTGCCTTTTAGATTCCGCTGTTAGCCACTATTTATACTACCATAAGATGTATACTTACGTAAACAAAAGTAAATGCTCATTAGTACGACAGATATATGGAAAGTTCAAAGTCGCACAGTAATTGGCACAAGCTTGACACTACTTTTTCGCTTCTACGGACAGTAGATTGTACAGTTACGGGATTGGTAGTAAATGTATACTTCCAGTCTGTCAATAAGATTACGTAATGACAAGTAATAGTCGTCTTTGTGATACAAAGCATAGATATATGAAACAAGATGGTGTGTAGTATGACCTTTGAAGCCTTTTCCGACGTTTACGCTACTATTGTTATCGGGTTTTCACGAAATGAAATGTTCACAATGCTTGATGATGCATCAAGACCACATGAAGGCATTTCATCAGAAAGGTATCTTTTCAGACAATAATAAAAGTATTATTAACGACCAAATGGGATTTTGTCAGCAAAAACTGAAGACAGAAGAAGAAGGGATAAGAGAAATCCCAAAGATTTAAAGAGAAAGATTTGGGGATAATTTTACGACCTAACTTTTTGTCATAGTGAGTTGATTAGACAGATGGTTTTACATCACTAAAATAGCAGTTGTTCAGTGTCAGTTGGTTGGAGGCAATCGGCAGGAAGACCAGCTTGACCTAGGCTTCACGCTTGTTAGCACTCGTCAACAAGGCGTAGCTACAACCTTAAGAGAAGTTATATCCCCTCTGAACACTCGAAGTTGCCAACAAGCAGAAAACCTAGATGGAGCATGGCTAGCTTCCTACCCACTGCCTCCAACAAACTAAAACCCATCCGAAGTGCACCGCGATGGTGAACCTCTTAGCTAGGTGGTCACATTGCAAAATGACCGTTAGAATTCAGTCAGCACTGAGATTAACCTATATATACTTATCAGTGGTTGAATTTTGTCAGGTTTAATCTTCATCAAACCAATTGTTCTCTGCTATTCTTGGCACGATGTTTGACTCATAAGTTTAAGTATTCGTTTTACAAAGAATAGGTTTCACGCTTGAGATGATTTTTGTTAGAGCAGTGATTGAACGTCGAGTTCCAGATGAACGAGGCAAGTCTGTTGCTGACGTTGTAGACATGCACTGACTAAGGCAGTTGGGGTATATACTATATATACACACACACCTAGTTGTTATCTTCCCCGAGTTGTGATGAGGTCTGAAGTAGCATTAGGTTCGTTAAAACGTTGAGTAATTAACAAGACTAAAACTGTCCACCAATTTGTTAAGCCTTTGACTAGTGGTATGAGCTTTGTCTGGAAATTCAAACTTCCTAATGGAATTGTGCATGAAAACGGGAATGGAAGGCGAGAGACTTTGAGTGATATAACCTAAGATCGATATTAATGATCCGGATACATCCACAGTATTTATTTTACTCCTTCTTTTTCCTTTTTGGTAGTTTTCTACAACCTTTGACTTCATTATTTCAGCTTCTCTGCCTTCCTTGTGTCTTGATATGTGGTATGGAAACGTGAACAATTATGCATAAATTCTAACTTACTGGTACAAAGGTATCGATTTAGACGGTGGTTAGGTGCCACACACCGTCATACAATGTGCATAGTCCACGGTCTAGTACTGTTTTGTTTAGTTATATTATTTTTAAAATTATCATACAATTAACGGGGAGGTAGGCACGCAGCTTTTGCCATATTTTTCAGTGACAGAATACTGATGTTTTAGTGAAAAACAGTTTCTTGTGGAAGATTTTATCTTTTAAATCTGGTAGTTTGTCATCTCGAATAAATGTATTCAGTAATGAAAGTTATTCTTCCGTTTTCTGCTACTCTTGTTAGCCTATTGGTTGTACTTCCTTCCGTTCATATATCTCTAGATGAGTGATGATTAATCTGACTTTTTAAGTGTCACACTCTTCACGACGCTTGTAAACTGACGTGTTTCCTACAGTTTGATCTCAAAAGCATATACAGTAAAACAACTTATTGGAATATACGTCATGTTATATTCTCGAGTGATTCATCCCCAACACTTAGGATCACAACTTCTTCCTTCCTTCTTATTCCTTAGTTCCAATCGGTGTAACATTTTGACGCTGAACCTCACAGCAGACAGTAGACAACTGCTGCTAATCGTGCATTCTGCAATGTAATGATTCGTGTGAGTGTACAACAGGCTTCACATGAGATGGTTGAAGGCAACCGGAAGTAGGCCTTGTCCCATCTAGATTTTATATTTACTGGTACTTGTCAGCAAGGCATATCTGTAGTCATAAGGGACCTGATATCCTGTGAGAGATTTGAATCAATCAAACACATTACCAAAGATCTATTCAGGTTGCTATTGATCCCTCTTTATACTTCTAATTACTTCAGTCGAAATACTCGACACAGTGGATAACCTCTATCTGTTGTCCGTTGTCGTCATTTCCTGTTGGGACTAACTTTGTGTTTGTGTATGTTCATTTCACAAAGAAAGCAAATAATAAATTTGTTAATTGCACTCTCCATATTCCTCTCCCCTGTTCACTTGTTCTAGGTTTTATGGGACTTTGTCTTCGCTCCGAACAATGGTCCTCAAGCGCATTGTGTCAATTCTCAAGATTCATCAAGGCCAGAAATTTATGACAACACAGTATCCAGTAATCTGTTGAAGTATGCCTATGCAACTATAACATCAGAATCAGCGAGCAAAAAGAAAGCCGACTAAATATTCCTTGTTTTTCTTCTCCTCTTTTGCTTTCAAATATTTATGCATATTTCTACTGGGTATCTATTTTTGTTATGACTATTCCTCTTTCCATGGGCTGTGACTGATGACCAGTCTAGTCGCTTGACTTTCTTTCATCCACAGGGTCACGGGTTCGAACCCAAGTTCACTGACTGACACCTCACACCATAGTTATGGCTTATTGTCTTTCGATTGACAGTGTACTGTACTGCATTTCTCCTCTGGATGTATGCTACTCTTATGTTGTGGTTTTTCTGTCGAACTCCTTTACCAAACAAAAAAAAGGAGAAAAGCGAATTGTGAATTTATTCAATTGGCTGTGATCTCTCATATGATGTACATTTTTACCTATTTATGATATGCACTAAACACGTTGATTTTTCAGCGTTTGTAGGAGGAGGGAGGGAGTGTGAAAGCCTTAGTTTTGATGAATCCTATCCACCTCTCCTTCTTTCTCGACTTCTTCAACTCAATATATCGAAGATGTTCTTTTGTAACATACATTTTCTGTCTTTTATCTTCCTTATTACATTAATTAACAAGTGTATTCAAAGTGGTAAGTGTTTCAGGTAGCGATTGACGCACATATACACTCATGCACCCACCTACAATGTTTCTCATCCCTCCATTGTATAGCTGGTTTGTGTACTTTTATAAACCAGTCTTTATCTTAGTGAGTTTTGCATATCCCTATGTGCCTTTCCTTACTTTCTTGTATACTCTTTTGACTCATAGTGTGAAAATATACTGATATGTACTTATAATATCTGCTGGAGTTCGGTTGATAAACTTTCACCTGCACTGGGCACTGAGGGAACTAGGGAGTTACATCGGTTATCCACTGGTGTGATTAGTTCTTGCTTCAATTCAGTCATATAGGGGGACAGTTGTGATCTGAATAGCTGAGTAGTAGAACATTTTCTTTCAGAACTGCATAACTTAAGTTCCAATAGAGTGTTAACGAACATTAGTTTCCCAATGGTTGCAGATATGCATTGCTGCTGTGTGGCAATAAGGACAAAACACCGAACCTAAAGGTTCATACATCTAACATTAATGTGCTTCCACATCTTCAAAGCACAAACAAAATATAAAACATACAAATAAACTTATTCTTCTTCGGAATCGGAGAGACAAAATCACCCCAGTTGCTGAAAGCCTTCACGAAGACAATTGGCCGATGTGTCGTCTCTTCCCTCAATGAAAGCGAAAGTAAACATGGGGATATGAAATGTCTGAACAATGTTCTAAGCTGGTTGGCGAGGCTGCCCAGATTGCAAAAGAGATGAGGAGATATGGCGTAGAAGTGCTAGGAATCTACAGATGGAATGGAAGTGGACTCTCCCAACTGTCAGTCAACTGGAGAGCGGTGAATAATCTACTCCGATATTGTCACACAGACGACAACCACGATCAAACTGAGTTTTCGAGTGGCTATCATGATGTCCCCTTGAAGAGCGTTGAAGACTCACTCTCATGCAGTGGGAACCAATCTCTCTCCTCCTTCAGGATCATGACAGTAAGGTGGATTCAACTCAAAATGGAAGGGAAGTCACAATCACACAATGCTACGCTACACTGCACTACACTACACTACGCACGTAAAAATAATGCAGATTGGCAGAAGGAGGAGGAGGGGGAGGAGGAGGAATTCTACAGACAGCTGCACTCAGTAGTGTGATAGGGTCTGGCAACCCAGTTGGCGACATCGAAATCCATTCTAATGAGTGGGGTTAGATGAATGCCATACTGGGAGCAGACAAGACAGGAAGAGAAGTGATCATGGGTCGAGAAGCACTCGATGAAATGATGAAGGAGACTGGAGAACTGTTTGCAGATTTGTGCGCATTTAATTACTTGGTGATTGGAGGTGAGGTGGTGTGTGTACACGCACAAGAGCACGGAGAGACAAAATACACTTGTATGACATAATGGCAAGTGAATCAGAAGAGACAGGCTGCAGATAAGAGAGATAGAGAGGTAGAGGGAGATCAGACAATTCTATATCAACTAAATAGGTGACTACTTGGTAGGGAAGAGATCAACGTGGATGAAACCAATGAAAGTTAGGGTTAGGGAACTCAGTTACCAAAGAGGAAGAACAAAGGAAATAATTGGCTGACCACTTGAAAAAGCTCTTGAATCGACCACCACAACTACCACGTGCAACTTGTCAAGAAACAGCACTAGCAGCCCATCCACACAATTACCAGTGAACACAAGTCCTCCGACGAATGTCGAAGTGAAGGTATGAACGCCATAAAGTTGCTGAAATCCGGTAAAGCAACGGAACCAGATTGAATTTCTCCAGACGCACTGAAAATAGAGACTGAAAATGCTCTGTATTCAAAATCACGACCGAAACAGGCTAGCTGGATTGAGGAAGAACAAATCACTTGTGTACCAAGTTGCAACGCTATGCTACGCATCATCATAGAAGGAATAGTAGAATGGCAGTCAACTCTCTACATCAATTTCATCGATTTTGAGAAGGCTTTCGATCGAGGGGTGGGCGGAGAAGTAATTCGGCAGGCAGCTTTTTCAACACTACAGTTTCAGTCCTACAAACCTTTATCAACTTCATTCAATAGCCTCTATGTGTTATATGACGAGGCTACATGCCAAGTGATTCACAACACAATGGAAAGCTCAGTGATGCCTTTGAAGTGAAGACAAGAGTAAGACAAGGCTGCCTACTACCACACATGATATTCCTGATTGTAGTCGACTGGATCATGCAGCAAACCATGAGTAGCGATAAGGAGGTCCTAATCAGTTTGACCGATGAAAAGAGCCTAGAAGCTTTGCATTTCGCCAATGATGATTTATGTCTAATGTTGCACAAAGTTGAAGGTGTATAGGTGAAAACTAACACTTCGACAGAAGCAGCGGCGAAAACGGGACTTCCTTCAGATGAACGTAGAGATGACGGAGATCATGAAGATACACAAACAACAACAGTATGAATAACAAGCACCAATCACTATGAACGGGAAAAATCTAAAGGAAGTTGTCTCTTTCACCCACCCAGGCTGCATCGAATCAACTACAGGTGGCGATACAGGCACAGCAACGAAATCACATGAAATTCTTCCTTCATAGACTTTGAAAAGGCATTCGACAGCATCGACCGACATGTCATTTATCAGTGACTTCAACACTACGGTTTTGTTGCCACAAATCCTTATCTACCTCATTCAGCAGCTGCATGACGACACCACATGCCGTGTGATTCACAATGAGAAGCTCAGTGATGTCTTTGAAGTGACAGGGGTAAGACTAGGCTGACTACAATCATCCATAATCTTCATTATTGTGGTCGACTGGATCATGCAGCAAACGGTGATGAGCGTGAAGATGGGCATGTGTTGCACTGCACAGCACAGCACAGCACTGCAGTGGAACTAAGGGTGTGTGGAACAAGATCCGGATTCTCAACACTAATTCAGTCAAGTATATCAGTGCTTCTATGTGATGGTTGAGAGACTTGGTGAGTTGCGAAAAGCACTCTCAACAAACTACAAACATTCATCATCATCATCATCAGCTGCTGCTGCTGCTGCTGCCACCTACGCTCACTCGATACTGAATGAAGATGGATATCAGATGGATTGGTAGAATAGTGAGAATGAGCAGGGAAGAAATTGTGACTGGCAATGAACCAACGAAGCAATAACCTGTTGCCTTTTTAGAAAACATTGATTTCACCTTGACCAAGTTGTCTAATCCCATTATATATTACTTTACTGATTAACTACTTTCATCAGTTTTTCACCCCTTACGGAGTTATGTATCTGCTATGAACCATTCCATGTATTACTTAATCTACTTTGTTATCATTTATACTTCATAGTCTTAATCACTGATATCATCATCCGTTTTATTATTATTGTCATCGTCATATAGTGTTTAGTTTTCCTCATAGGGTATAATTTTTCAAATATCATATATATATGCGATTGTACGGCTTGAAAATAAATTCATTGAAAAGAGTCTACTCACTGAATATCTTGTTCTTGAGAGCAGTCGAGAACCCATGTTAAATGAAACACACAATGATATACCCGACTCAGCTATCTCTCTGCATGCTCTTACACATAGCCACACCATAGGATGGGTGGTGTAGGGTCACAGTTCTAAAAAAGGTGGGACAGACGGATCACAGAATCTTTTTCATCGAATCAATACACAGTAAAAGTTTTCTTACCATTAAGACGAAATAATGGAGAGCTGTTGAAATATATTAGTGAAGTTTAAAAGTCGTATGACTACTGTCATATGAATATGAGCGATAAATTATGTTCGAATTGTCACACAGAAAATTATTACTAATAAATTGCTGTGTACTAAATTGAATAAATAAAATTTAGTATGCACTCATACCATATCACATGGCCAAAGCTTTATTCTTTATGAACTCATCATTTGGATTGAAATTAGACCTATTGATGGTGTTTGCCTTCTTCTGAATAAGTCCTGCATGAATGTTTTCTAAGTCGTGCGATAAACCGAAAATAGATTTCTTACACCATTAATTTATCAATCAGTAGACTAAACTGTATTTAGTTTGAAGGTTTGTAGGGGATTGATTGATTTATGTGTAGTATTCGTCATGGACTGATATCAATCGGAGAACCACTGAAAACTTAGAAGCAATAGAAAACCGTTTAGCTATGGTATGAAACTCCTATGACCCCTCTGAACCTCGCCTGGTTAACTAGTTTACTAGTTACTAGCCGGTCCTAAGCCCGGGTAAAGAGGGAAGGTTGGGCATAGGGCTAGCAACCCTACCCCGTAAAACAAATCTAACCGCTAAAGAAACTTCAATGCATAAACAAAATATAAAAAATGAAAACAAACTTATTCCCCGCTGGAATCGGAGAGGCGAAATGACGCCAGTTGGTGGAAGCCTTCGGGAAGCCAATTGGCCGATGTGTCTTCTCTCGATGAAAGCGAAAGTAAACGTGGGGACATGGAATGTCCGTACGATGTTTGAACCCAGCAAGGCAGCCCAGATTGCAAAGGAGATGAGAAGGTATCACATCGAAGTGCTTGGAATTTGCGAAAGCAGATGGAATGGGAGTGGACTCTCCAAACTGTCAACTGGAGAATCAATAATCTACTCCGGTCACCCAGACGCCAACCACGAGCACACTGAGGGAGTGGCAATCATGATGTCCCTAACAGCAACGAAGGCTCTCATGCAGTGGGAACCAATCTCCTCCAGGATCATGACAGCAAGATTCAACTCAAAAGGAAAGAAGGTCACAATCATACAATGCTATGCACCTACAAATAATGCAGATGAAGAGAAAAAGGAGGAATTCTACAGACAACTTCAATCAACACTGGACAAGACGTCAGTTGGCGATATCAAAATTCTAATGGGTGACATGAATGCCAAACTGGGAGCAGACAACACGGGAAGAGAACTAACCATGGGTCGAGAAGCGCTAGGTGAAATGAACCAGATTGGAGAATTGTTTGCAGAATTCTGTGCATTCAACGATTTGGTGATTGGAGTCAGGCAGTGTGTTCAGGCACAAAGATATCCACAAAGCGACATGGATTTCACCAGACAACAGGACACACTAAAAATCAAATCGACTTTATCTCAATCTCAAGAAAATGGAGACGCAGTCTACTTAACACAAGGTCAAGAAGAGGAGCAGATGTAGGTTCATACCACTCACTATCTAGTGCAAGCAACCCACCTTCCAAATCAAGTTAAAAGCCTTCAAGGAAGCTGGTGATAGACCTAAATTCAAGTACAACACTCGGAAACTGAAGGATGAAACTACAAAGGAGATCTTCAAGGC